TGCAGCGTGTATATGTTAATGATATTTATTTCCTTTAAATGTTGCAGCTGAACGGATGTTTTCAAATACAACATCATTTGAATCCTGTTCTTAAAAATGAATGTTTGGAGACCGTAAATGTTTTAATTTGAATAACACTTTGGTTTTAAATGTGCACTTAATGTACGGCCCAAAATGTGCATGTTTAAACACAATGTATTTTAATGTCATAATGCTGATTTACTCCATTGTGAGCACCTTCTTTTTAGGAGCTACACAAAAATACCAGCATTTAATAAATATTACATCTTTTTAAGAATCCACATTGTGTGCTGTGCACTCAATTATAGATAGTTAAAATAATTTTTCTTAGGAATATGTATATCTTGTGCAACCCCACCTGGCAGTTTTACACTTGCATATTAAAACCCGTTCCAGACTAAATCACATTTCCAGCTGTGATTCTCTGTGAGTAATATCTGCAGTATGTCGATTTAAATGATTGTTTGTCTAGGAAACAGGCTCTTGAGGTGCCTGTTGCTATAAACCCACAACATCAGATCTGGAGTCGATCAGACCGAGGTCAGTCACAGAAGTCCCTGTTCATTGCCAGTCTCTCTAGCTCCTCCTCTGTGAGGAGATACTCCTCTACGTAGGAGTTGAGCTCATCAGAGGTGGTGGGGTTAACAAAGCACTCCCGATCCACACCATACTCGTCCAACAGCACCATGGTGAAATACGCTGTAGATATATGCAGTGCCTGTCTGTTACATACAAACAAAAAACACATGCAAACAATAATTTACCACTTTTAGATTGGAAACACATGCATAGTGGAGAGAATCAACAAAACATTTTCCTTCAGTATAGAGTCCCTGTTGTTGCAAAACCTTATGAAAGGGTTTTGTCCAAGATATTTTAATGTGGCTTTTATCAAAATAAGGTCTGGTCTTGACTGGTCAATATGTCTCTCCTGGAACTTAAAGTCAGCATTAAATTTGGTTTTCATCCCATGGTATTTGATATACAATGAGAAAGCTTAGACTTGATTTTATTAATTGGGAACCTGCAGGATATTAAAAAAGTAAATATGGTTAATTTCATGTTGACTTTGAGTATTTGTTTGTAATATTGCCATTGTCATCTGCCAGTATGACTTCCATGTAAGTCCTTAAATACAACAGTTAAATATACAGTATTTATCATGTAAACACTACTGTAGATACTCGGTAAGTTACCTAAGTCCCTCTATGACTTCAGGCTATAGTTGTTGTTCTTTGATGCGGCACACTGCACGAAGTGGAGTTCCTAAAACATGTCACAGATCAAGACCACACCCAGCTTTCTGTGTCAGAACATTCCCACAGTCATATAAGTATGCTTCGTAATGAGATTGTAACTCTCCTTTCTTAAGATTATTTTTGCTTTAATCAAGGAAGTATCTATATTACCTGTAGCATAATATTCTGAAGCCTGTACTTCTGGTTAGCGTTATCTGGGGTAGACACAACAAGAAGCCTTCTCTTTTCATAAAACTGGTCAAGCAGAGCACCAGCGGACCTGACACCTGTTTTTATGTCCATTACTAAAAGATAAAGCAAACGTTTCACACAACAATGAGAAAAATATTTGAATGTATGTGTTTCAATTAAAAATACACATAACCTCAAGCACATACTCACATACACACTGAACTGCTTCATCGGACCAGTTGAGCTGACAAACGCGAGTTGCAAAACCTGTCCTTTCGAAGCCAGGATCACAATGGTATTCACATACAGCCCCATAATTATTGCCATCAGATAGCCATGCATAGGCGGCTTTAGCTTTGGACATCGCCTCACTGAGGGGAAAAAAACTTTCAGTTTAAGACATATATACCACTCTATAGTACAACAAAAGTGCAGCTGACTGGATCTAGAGAAGGGTGTTAAAACCTTAAGTCATATTTTAATAATATTAGTTATAGTTAAAGGGATAGTTCACCCAAAAATGAAAATTCTGTAATCATTTACTCATGGCTTTATTTTTCTGTGGAATGCAAAAGAAGATATTTAGACAAATGTCTCATGTAATGAAAGTCAGTGGGGTTCAATATTTGTGTTCCACACAAGTCATAAAAGTCTGAAACAACATAAAAGTGAGTAAATGATGACACCATTTTCATTTTTGAGTAGACTATCCCTTTAACACTTTGAAGCAGAAGCAAATCAAAATATTATACTGGCTTTACTTTCAACATGCACTGTAAATTTGCATGTGGCTATGTTGCGAGCCTGGTCAGAGACTTTATATCGAATTACATGTATTCCTTCAGGAAATCGGATCCAGACTCCGGTCCATTTCGCAAGACCCTGATAAAGGATGACAAAAATGCAGTTTACAAGTTGCCTCTTTGACACCGAGGAAGTTGGATGGCTTTCATAAAAATGTGATGCACATACTGTAGTGCTCTGTCAGCAGTATCTGTAGAAACAGGACGCTCCCATGAAACCAGGGCAGTTACTTTTCCTGGTTCTGCTACCTTCACTCTGGACAAAGGACATTTCAGCTTGGGGGGGGGGGGGTCATGATCTGAAACAATGTAATTTTTATTCATTGTTACAATGTCTTCTCTCTGGCCTAAATAATGATATTATAGCATCTGCAAACTATCAATGAATACAATTCATTTCCAAATGTACCTGCACACGTCGGTTCTGTGCCACTCCATGTTCCCTCTTCTTGGCACATCCGGTAGTGATCTCCCTCAATCTGGTAGCCTTCATAGCAGTTGTAGTCACACCTGGAGTCTACCACAAAACCACGGGTGCAACTGTACAGACCGTGGTCAATCAGAGGCAGAACATTGCAATGTATCTCTGAGATTCAGACGTAATATAAACACATGGATGGTTCAACTAAGGATAGATTGCCAAGTACTCTGCAGCAGCTGCCTAATACATGTTTCTGAATCAAAGAGCTAGTTTCTCTGACACAATTATTATGACACCTTTTAAGTATACTTACTTCGACAGACAGCGGATCCAGACCAGCGGCGGTTGGGCATGCACTGCACAGATGATCGGCCCAGCTGTTTATATCCTCGATCACAGGAGAGCAAACAGTGAGTTCCAAGCGAGCCCCAGTGGTGCCCACCTCGAGGAGAAAAACAGGACACTTCCCCATTACATGGCACCACTGCGGATCTGACAGCAAAAATGTTTTTTAAGTAACTGTAGCGTCTCGCAATTAGCCATATTGTATAATTTGTGAGTGTATTTTTACATTTGTAGTCCAACTGAGGGGTGAAATAAGTCTCATCCTCATGCACAACTTCATTGGTGTCATGGTAAGAAGATGCTGAGCCTAAAAGAGCAAACATAAAAGCTGAAGCTTTGATCTCAAAAAAGTCTTCTAAAAGTAATCTTACAAAAGACAGTCAAAATATTGGCCAGCACATCATCGCAACAAATCAGCTGCATCATTGGTATCCTGCGGCCTCAGCAGTAGAGAAAAAATATCCCCAACCACCCCTGTTTTTGTTTCCAAGCAGCACAACCACCATCATCATTCTTTCCTCTCACACACGTTTTTATGGTTTCACATACACAAACCTCTTTAATACTCATTGGGGGAACTCTTTAGTTTATAACCATGAGCTTTCCCTAAAAATAAAAGGATCATTTCAGGAAAAATATACTGAGAAGATTGTTAAAGGGAGCTTTAAAAACACAAAGTTCAATACTGTACAGTATGTATTAACGTCAGACGAAATCTAGGACAGAATTGTTTTAACCAATGTCAAAATCGCATTTGCCAAAAGGTGCTGCCCCCTGCACACAGAAAACTGAAGATCCAGCCAAGTCAGGGTTTCCAAGTCCATGTTTACTGGATTAAGATCTTTGAAAATAATTTTATAGAGACTAGTATTACGATTTAAGTTGTAAAAAAAAAAAAGAGAGAGATATGTCTGAGCAAAAGAAGATTGGAATCTAAGCTAATGATATGGAAAGAGGACAATGGCATGCAAAGATGTTGCCAGGCCTAGAGGGATCTCATTTTAAATATCCATCCAGTTTACAACCTGTTTGTCCTATGTAGGGTCGGGGGATGCTGGAGCTTAACCCAGAGTCTTGGTTTTTAGGCAAGGACTCGTTATCGACAGATGGACATATTTTAAATACATTAATTTAAATATAGAAATGTAGAATTCATACTCCTAGAGACTGACTGCAGCTGCCTACAGTCTAAACTAAAGAGTTGTAACGTACCAAGACTGTGACTCAACATTTGTCAATACCCACACTGCTTTACAATACCTGGGAAACATTATGTAGCTGTCCTTAAGAGGAAACGTTCCAGTTTGTGTGAGGAAAATGTTGTTCTCATTTTCACAAACTATTTGATTCTCATTTTCGTAAACTATTTGAAACTGTGCAGAAAGCCAAACCTCATTGCTCTTTGCCATTTGTTTTGAATAATCAATTCACTTGCATAGCATATACTGTACATGGCAAGATATTTATTTCTTGCTTGCTTGTTTGTTTGGCTTCCAAGGTGGGACAATCGACCCAGAGATGACAGAGGTAAAGTTCTTCATTTTGTAGTTCAAATTGGGGCTCTTGACACAGATGGTGAGCTCTCACTCAGTCATTTACTGGGTCACTAGGTTATAATTACAACTGTTTAGACATTATGGAAATGATACATGAAATAGTGATCAAGGATGAAACAAAGTATCTTTAAGTCTATGTTTTGTAAAAACTGCTAATTTAGCCAAATGTACGTGACTTGTTCCCCTTGAATCATTCAGACAAACTAGTGGGCAATTGTATTACATTTAACTGGTTTTAATGATTAACATATTTAGCGGACTCCCACATTTTGTGTTCCACATTTTGGTGCAGGAACAGAACATTTAGTAAATGATTTTGTTTTCAGAATTTGTACAGAAGTTGAAGTGTTAAGTATACGTTTCTTTCTGCGGTGAAACCCTGTAGAAAATGAAGGGGAAATAAACTGCTCTTTATAAAATTGTATTTGACCTCCTGAGGTTGATGATAAACACTCTCTGAAGGTTAATAATCTCCTTTCTCTTACATTTTAAATGTAAAATTACTTCATTTTTTTTTTTAAACGAGTTTGAGGGCCTGTTTTGTACCCTATTTTTGGAAAGGATATATAGGTGGCGAAATGTATGTGGATGTTATTAACAGATTCTGAGACTGCTCTGAAATAATTCAGTCTAGTGGCACTATAAACATCTTGATTTAGTATTGCATTTTCCGATGTAGTAGCATTCATCAGTTTGTGTGTTTTAAATTTTTTTGTCCTACTCAACCCAGTAAACTTGCAAGCATTCTGTTGAGCTGCTCAGACTCGTCTGCTGGTGTTAAAGCAGGATAACGGGCTGTGGAATGGCTTTGCTGACCTTGCACAGAACGCAGTCTATTTGCACAACACCGGTGAGTTTTATTTTGCTTAATTTAAATGTGCATTTCTAAAATGCTACAGAAGAAAATCTGCACTTTTTGTGTGTCAGTTGCAGTTCTCCACACATGCTTTCACCCTACTCCCACGCCCTCCGTGTGTGTCCAGTTACTCTACACCTTTTTCTGTACACAAGTTTATGTATAATTTGGTAGTGCTCCAAATGCTTTTCAAATTTGCTGTGAATCTGAATATGAGAATTCATTTCATGCTGTTCCCCCCAAAAAAGCCCCAGAATTATGTGAGGATTCTGCTAAAGAGTCAAAATGCCTGATAACTTTTATTGCTGTTCTTGAGCGATATTGGACCATGTCAAGTTCTCTGTCTCTATTGTTTGTTTGGTAGGCTTTGTATTTATTATATAGCACAAGATTCCCCTTTCACTCATAACCCATGCATACTGTGTATCTACTTCTATAAAACACTATGTTCAGACTATTTTGAGTGAAGTCTCACCGGAGCTTTAACCTAAAACCTCATTGCCCCTCCTCTCCACCCCCTCTCTTCCTTTTCTTCTTCTCTCTGTCTGGACACGTCAGTCACATAACAGGTAATGTTACTGTCTCCTCTTTCATTCCATAGAAGCACTGATAACAGCCTCTTTGGTGTCCTTCTCTCTGTCTTCCTCTCTCACTCTATTTGTTTCTCTCTGTTTATCGTCTTTAGTATGAGCTTCCTCAGTGTCTTATCATACTGTCACTGCATTACAGTTGGCAATTTTGTCCAAACGCCTAGTCATTGTGTTTACAGGTTTCGTTTGACATTTTTATTTATTTTTTATCCAGTCACTCATCTCGGAGTGAGTTATGGGTGAGAAAAAAGGCTAAAAAGCCCTTCCCAGGTGCAAGTTTTTATTCAGCTGTTTTGGCAAATAGCACTTACTGAGTCAGATGATCCAGAGGAGTCAAGCAGAATCTACTGCAGAGTCTGTTTGCAATTAAGTGCATCACATAATCAGTTCACCCACCACCCATTTTTAACATCACCATTCTCTGGGCAGGTCTTAGGGTTATAATGTCCTGTAACTTCTAATTCAATAAATTGTAATCAGCTTAAATTTATTTTCAAGGATGAGCCTATCCCAAGAAGAGGAAGACTTCAGAAAAGGTCTGATATTGTGATACAGTTTTAATCATGTGTGTGTATTTTAGTGTGTATAGTGTTTCCTCCAGAAATGCGTAACTGATAAATTTTTTATTTCTGCACCCCAGAGAAAGTTTCGCCCTGGTTAAGGGGGCAGTGCTCCTGGTGGAAGAGGGAGAGAGGGAGGGATTACATGAAGAAACCGTACCCTCTCTGCTAGGTCCTAGGCAAGGAGGCCGAGCCTCTGACACTCAACGCAGACATTTGCACGCAATGATTTCGTTACTACGACCGGAGGACACAGTCAAATTGGTTAGGATTTCCTCAACCCACTCTTGTTTAACTACACTGCCTTTCTATGCTCAGGGTCGCCATGGTCATGGTAACTCCAAATTAAACAAAGCCTCTATTAAATAAATGTTGTAATCACAAATGACTGGAAAAATAATTGGTGTGAAAATACCTCATGCATTTGCACTATTTATTGTCCATGTGAGATTTATGGAAGTGTTTGTACTAGCTGCCTGTGTATAATGGAGGCAGTGTTTTGCATGCGTAACATCACATGTTCTGCAATGTGGTTTCTGGAAACACTTTAGTTTGTTCCATCTTCTGCTATGCAGAAATGACAATAGCTTTGTCTTTAAGAATACAGTTACACACAATACAGTTTACTTGCTAAATTGTGTAATAAAAACAGCATGCATGGGTGCTGTGCTTGAATTATAATAATGGAAAGATCTCATTTTAATTGCAGTAATTTTTAATTATCCTAATGAATCCAGCTCAGACTTCTGTGTCTGATTCATTAGCAATGGACCTGAATTTCTCTTTCTCCCTCTCGCAGGCTGTGCGTTTGGAGTCTGTGAGCCCAGTCAGAGTGAGGTATTTGCTTATAGTTGGCACATTAATAAAAAAACAGGAGAGTCTACTTCTTGGCATAGACTTCCCAGGCTTAAACAGGTAGCACATCTTTATAAACTAAGTTATTAAGCCATCATAAGCAGATTTTATTTCATTAGAGATAAATTCCAAAATATTCAATTGTATGTGTGACATACCTGTTAAATGTTTGTATGTCTATTGTCTTACAGCCTAAATACTGTTGCATTTTTGATAACATCTGTTCACAACACACAACTGAATCAAGGAGATTATTTATTTTTAACATTCTACTTTTTTGGAAATGGAATGTGCAGATATTTTGCAAACTTGGTGTCCTTGTTTAGTAGCAGGGATAATTCACCCAACAATTAAATTTATTTACTTGCCCTCATGTCACTCCAAACCTGTATTACTTTATTTGTTCTATGAAACATAAAACGTTATTTTGAATAATGTTGGTAACTGTTGATTTTTTTTGTATATGGACAAAAAATGCGGAGACATTTTTCAAACTATATTTTGCACATATGAAAAATATACACTGTATTTAAAAAAATTTTTTTGGGGGGGTGAATTTCTTTAAACATTTAGCAGATTTTTAAATAAAATGTAATTATTTCAGCCTGTCAAGAAATGTCTCTCACTCATTTTCTCTCGCTCTCTCTCTTTTTTTTTTTTTATAAACTCTTCCTCAGTGATGAGTGCACTATTGGACTTGTCTTGCCAATATGGAGTGACACACAGGTTTACCTAGATGGAGATGGGTAAGAACATAAAACTGATTCATTCTGACCAAAAATCAATTAATAAAGTGCAAATATATGATAATGATAGCAGGGAAAGCAAAAAAACGCAAAAGTGTGTGTTTGACTTTCAATTTTATGAAAGAGCAATCTTGATATCATTATCTTGTCATTAAAGTCAAATTTCACATAAGCTTTTTAATGTGGTTTGAGATTTTAAATTGAAGGGAGCTCAAGTACAAAGTCTTTGCTTCTTTAGAAAATTAGGAAACAGTCAACACTAAACTAAATATAACTGAACTTGATCTAAAATAAAAAATGTAAACATTTAAAATAAAATAGAACTGTGCTTGGTTTGAATGGAAAACCTTCCACTTTATAATTTATCTTAGTACACTGTTAAAGCCTCCACCCCAGACTTCTGCTTTTCTGACAGTTTGTTGCACTTGTTCTTTTACAGAGGTTTCAGTGTGACATCTGCAGTAGTGACACGAATCTTTAAGCCTGTGTCCATTCAGACGATGTGGTAAGGTTTAAAGCAGGAAATGCTGAGGAAACAACTCGTTTCCTCAACCATCAACGACATACAGTATGACTTTGGTCTTGCAGCCAGCACACACTTAACTGCACACAGTTATAATGCTATTTGTTTTATTATTCTGATATTGCCTATAACTGTCTTTCTTCTGGTCCTTAGTCAGTCATCACATGTACCCTGTTAGACCTCTGCATAAAGCCTCTAAATTAGCTCTGTAACTTGTAAATATGTTTGTTGATTGCTTGTTCACAGCACTCTCTTGTCTCTCTTACTTTGCTCAAGGTCAGTGTTGCAGGCGCTGCATGGCTGCTGTGAACGGGCCGTACGTGGGGCTGTCATACCTGGCTGCGGACTGGAGTGGGCACAGCATTACAGAGAGAACGTGGAATCCGACCAGCACTGCCTTAATGAATGGGCGGCCATGACTGGCCTGGAGTCAGTCAGGAAGGACACTGGAGGGCGATCGTCGTCGAATCGGGAGTCAGTGGAGAGGGAGATCAAAGCCCAGCTACGAGATATCATGAGGACTGAGGACTTGGAAAACATTACCTCTAAGCAGGTAAAATGAAAGGGAGTAAGGCTTTACTCTGCTTTTCAAACAGTGTCCCACAACATCACCAAGCTCTCCTCTCTAGTCACCTATAGACCACTTTTTATGATCCAATCAGTTCCTGATGGATAAAATCAAGTTCCACTCTATATTTTTGGGTGTAAATAGGTCATATAACAGAAGTCAAATGGTTGAAAACACAATTTCATGTTTACATCTGAACTGTAAAAAATTCACGTTTATTTTACGGACATTACAGATTAAAACACAATGCAATGGAGTGAAAAATACAGGTAAAACACCTGTTTATTTATTTATTTTTAACAGTATGTTATGATTGGTTAACTTTTTGCATATGTATGCAACGTTTTTTTTTGTTTTTTGTTTTTACGGTTGTGGGTTTGGTGTCCATCCTTCCATAACAGGCACTTTGCAAAGCCAGTATTGCATTGCGACAATTTGCATGTTTTTGCAGCTTATTTTCAGAAAGTGGTCTGTGTGGACTGGATTTATTTAATTATGGCCCCTTTAAGGTTATTCAAAGTAGTCTACAGTTCAAAACTTATGGGGTTGGTAAGATTATTATTTTTTTTTTAATCATTTTTGAAAGAATTCTCTTATGGTCACCATGGCTGTATTTATTTAGAAAATACAGTAAAATATTAATATTGTGATATTGTTACCATTTTAAATAACTGCATTCTGTTTTAATATATTTTAAAATATAATTTTATTCCTGGCAAAGCTTAATTTTCAGTGGCCATTACTTCAGTGTCACATGATCCTTCAGAAATCATTCTGATGTGCTGATTTGGTGCTCAATATACATTTTTTCAACATTCTAGCAAATTCTAAAGAACAGCATCTTTTGAAATATTTTATTTTTTATTATTGTTATTATAAATGTCTTAACTGTCACTTTGAGAAATGTAATGTGTCCCTGCTGAATAAAACTATTAATTTCTTTCAAACAAAACTTACTGACCCCAGTCATTTGAACGGTAGCGCAAGCCTGAAGACACACCTTTTTAAGACTCTCTTCTTCTAGAACTTACTTAAGGTTAATGTGCCTGGGCTTGTTGTCTTATCCACAGAATCTTTGTGGTATAAACATGAGCAACATTCAGGAAGTCGTTTAGTGAGAAGCTTGATTTGATGTTTGTAAGCATTGTATTTCATGTGACTTGCCATTTAATGTGATTTGTATCCCAAACCCATGATCTTGGAGTTTCTAGCACCATACAGTTGAGCTACAGTCACTCTTTCTGTGTGTTTTTAGGTGCGAAAAGCCCTGGAGTCCAAAATAGGCATAGACATGAAAGACTACAAGGAGTATATTGACAATGAGATGATGGTCACAATGGCACAGATGGACAAACCTTCCAGAATCTTGGACTATCTTTACTTGGTGACTGTTGACATTAGTCTTCTGCCTTGTCTGCTATACTGTTGGAAAATACACAGTCATTTATTTGTCCTCTCTTCCCCCAAAGGGTTCCGAATGGAATGCTGCCAACTTTGAAGAACTACAGAAGAACAAGTATACAGGATTAATTAGGATTAAAATAATAATTAATGGTCAAATTCATATATTTTAAATAATTGACATAATTGAGTTATCCTTTTAAATTAACATTTTTCTGCAGCAGATGAATAGAAAGAACAATTATTTTTATGATTTTTGTTTTTGGTAGTGTGGGCTACATCCTGAATGTTACCATGGAGATTGACAACTTCTTTCCAGAATCTTTCACCTATATGAATATCCGAGTTTACGATGTGGAGGCGACCAACCTACTCTCACACTGGAACAACACATACATGTTCATCAGTGAAGCAAGGTGCTCAACACACACACACACACACACACTCCTCTTCCTCATTTTGGTTTATGGATGACATGCATTTAGTTTTTGTGCTTGCAGTCTGCCTACCCTGACTGTTAAATGCATTGGTTTATATTAAGGCACACATGCAGTATGGAATACCTAACCCCCTGTGAAATATATTAGCGTATGTCTTTGTGTTCGGTCTCATTCTAATATATTATGTCATTGTTTTGTACTGATGATAATACAGGAAGAGTGGACAGGCCATACTGGTCCATTGTAAGATGGGCGTCTCTCGCTCTGCCTCCACAGTAATTGCTTACCTGATGAAGCAGCAGGGCTGGACATTAGACCAAGCCCTCAACCACGTGAGAGAAAGACGGCCTATAGTGCAACCCAATGAAGGTTTCCTCAAACAGCTGCATACATACAGCGGCATCCTCAATGCCAGGTGACTTGCACTCTCATAATGGTGCTGTACCGAGATCGGTCATCATACTTGAACAAACAAGCATTCACACAGGAATACTGACATTTTCCCACTTGTATAGTATCTCAATAGATGTTCAGGTACAAACAAGTCAAGTCTGGTTTATTGTTCAATCATGTGTTGACTGAATAGTGCAGATACACAAACTCATCTCAAACAGTCACAGCTATGTAAGTTTGGGATCTTGAAAGAAGTCTCTTACGCTCATCAAGGCTGCATTTATTTAATCAAAAATATCGTGAAATATTGTGAAATATTATTACAATTTAAAAGAATATATTTTGAAATGTAATTTACTTCTGTGATGACAAAGCTTTTTAGCAGTCATTACTACAGTCTTTATTGCCACATGATCCTTTAGAAATCATTCTTGTATGCTATTTGCTGCTCGAGACATTTCTTATTATTGATGTTGAAAACTGACGATTAATATTTTGGGGGAGAGATTATAAAAATGTTTCATCAGGATACATTTTTTTTGAAAGTTCAAAAGCAGCAATAAACATCATTTATTTAAAGTAAATAATAAATCTTTTGTAACATTATAAATGTTTTCACTGTGACTTATTCAGCAAGGTCGCACTGAATTAATCAAAAGTATTAATTTCTTTCAAAAGAAATCTCACCGACTCCTAACTACTGAATTTCATTGAACGGTAGTGTATGTATTACACAGCTTTCTGAAATACTATATTCTGATTGATCAGGTGCAGCATTAACTGTTTACTACACATTTAAATTATAGACATTTCGATATATGTACAAAATACAGACACAAATTGGTATTTGCCGAGGCTTTATGCAGCATATTGTGTGCAGAAGACAGATTTGTCAAAATGTAATGGAATTAATGTCAGTTGCAGTCTCTTTCTTGACTCATTTAGTTGGGATATCAAGACATTTTTACACAAAATTGGACAGAAAAGACTAAATAGCCTTTTTTAATTTTTATAAAAACAAACGGTGATAAATTGAAACCACTCACAGAATTAGGTATATATATATATATATATATATATATTTATATTTATAAGCAGTATAGTGTACACTTTTCAGTAATAAGTACTGAAATTCATTCCAAACATTGCATTGTGCCATGCAGTAAACAGCGCCACAGTGCCCTGTGGAGGAGGAAGTCCAAGCCAGAAGTCCGTCAGCCATCTGTCCACAATGAAGCAGCTGCAGGGAGTGAACATGAACAGAAAGAGGAAGAAGATGAAGACTCAGAGAGCCCAGAAGAGGAAAGCAGTAATGAGGAGGAGGAAAGAGATGTAAGAAAATGTCATATAACATTCAAATTTGATTAATTGAATTGAATCAGTATGTCTTTAATTTCCAAATTGGTTTTACTAAAAAGTATATGTTTATTTCTATGCCTCTGTCATTCTCAGGTCTTTGGTGAGCAGTTGGATGAGAATGTTCCCGACACGTTTGGGGCAGATACAGCTACATCCAACCCACTTATTACTGTACAAGAAAGTGATAAGGTTAGAGCACTCAGAGAGCACTCAATTCATTACATTTAACCATTGTAAAGGCCTTCCTGATGTTAATGTGGTTTTCTTTACTATTGCACAATCCTGCATCATATTTGCTGAATTAAATCGAATACTTGTTTCTTAGTACTTCTGGGGTGCTGATTCCAAAAATAGTGCATGTTTTTCTCTAGCACATCACACTTTCTCACAGTATATCGTGCATTTCATTGCATTTTTGCTTTTGACACCCATTTGTAAGGTGAAGAGGTCTTGAATTATCCCTTAATCACCAGAAAAACTGCCACAAGGTCATGATTCCTATCTTTTTCTGAGCCAACTATTTGTTCAGTTCTTAGCCGATTTCCATATGTATGAATTATTCTGAAGGTATGAATTATTTTATGCCTAATCCTGATTTCACGGTTAGAAATTATGGCCCGTGGCAGAAGAAAATGCTAACGTGACCCCAGATGTTTTGTTTGTATCTATAAAAAGAGAGAGGAAGGGAGAGAGAGATCTTGTTTTGTGATAAAACTGTACATGATGGAAAGTTGTTATAGATTTTTTTGGAACTCTGCATAATCAAATTTGGTAATACTAGGTAATTTTTGAAAATTAGCTGAATTTCTGTTTTTCAGGATGCAGGGTTTTGTTTTAAAGGGGTCATATGACGTTGCTAAAAAGATCATTATTTTGTGTATTTGGTGTAATGCGTTTATGCGGTTTAAGATTCAAAAAACATTATTTTCCACATACTGTACATTATTGTTTCTCTTCTATGCCCCGCCTTTCTGAAACGCGTAGATTTTTACAAAGCTCATCGGTCTGAAAAGCGAGGTGTGTTGTGATTTGCCGAATACCTCAAGCATGTGACGAAAATGTTACGCCCCTTACCATACTGTGATGCCGTGTCCCGGCGCGATGAGACAAAACCAGTAAAACCCATTATAAACGAGGCATTTGTTGCATCCAGTGGGTACATAATTACAGATTATAGTGACTTATACTGTCTTTTTACGTGTTGTGTTGCATCGCACCGCGTAAACATAAAACCATGTCTGCATTTGTGATCGGAGAAACGCCAAACAACAAGCATTACTCTACACTGCTCAAAACTCGCGTTTGCGTTCATCAGTGGCAAATTCTTTAAATATGAAAACGTACTTACAGGTTGTGAGTCAGAAGCGCCAGACTGTCTTTGCAAAGTTGGAATTGCCACGCTTTATAGAAACAGACACCGGCATTGTAGGCTACTCTCCCAGGAAACAGTCCTCGTCCTCCGTAAAATGCGTTTCTCACATCTGATTATTTGGGTTGAAGTGTTCCGGAACAGTGTTGTAAATACAACTTAACCACTGATTTCTAGTCGTGTCCTCTTTTGGAAGGCCAAACAAAGTAGTTTCGCTTTCACAATGAAACACCGCTTCTCCACGACATGGTGGCGGCGGCGGCAGCAACAATACTACAGCGAGAATCAAAGTTACGCCTTCTTTCTTTGTGTGAATATTTGGGCGGCGTTATGCAAATTTTCACACATCGTGACGTAGACATGTGGGGGCGTGTTATAATGAGCCATTTTAGGTAGGCGTGGTTGACTTAACATTTATAAAGAATATCTCTTTGGATTTGAGACTTTAGTCTTTGCAACTTTACAGATCTTCTTTATGCACCAAGAGCTTGTAACACTCCAAAGAGAAAGGAAAAATTAAAATCACATCATATGACCCCTTTAAATAGTGGTTTGGGTGCACTGAAATTAAGTACTTTTTTTTTTTATTTTTTTTTTTTATGTTTGCAACACTTTATCCTAGGTGTCGTCTAGCCCCAGCAGAAGTGGCAGGATGGATTTGTTCTCTCTAATGCAGTCTATTCAGCTTGACGATGAGGACAGAGGGATCGATAAAGAGGTGAGGAAAAGAAAGTCTTTGATTTTTTATTTTATTTTTTTTCCCAAATATTTTTATTAATCAGTTTTGCTTTTGAACAAAGCACATAAAAACAAGCATTAACTGAAGAACTCCTGTTGTTTAGATCACTGTCAGTCAGAGACTTTCTCCTGCGCAACGAAGGCGGAGTCATGGAAGAAGAGGCTTGGCTCATCAGAGAGTGCATGTTGATGTTTCTCCTGAACCAAGCAGCAGGCAGTCACAGAACACCAGCCAGGATGAAGCTGGTATCTGAAGCACTTTAAAAAAAGGTCCGTGGTAAGAAATATGGAGAGAGAGGAATAAAAACGTAGAAAGGTGAGGAAAAAGAACACAAATAGTGACGTTAATATAAAGGAAACTCTTGCACAAGTCTTATCCTCCTGATTGTATCATTTCAAGTTCTTTGACAAGTCATTGCACAATCAAATTAGGGAATTTATTCATATAGATGCTGTATTAAGGCTCATTTAGGTAATTTTAATTTTTAATTATACTATATTCAATATTCAACACATGAAAGCACATGGTTGCATATCAATGGGTGTCTCACAAATTTTTCCCTCACCTGTCCATCTAGCCCAAAACTCAGAAACTGTGGTCAGTTTTAGGTGGATTGTTGAAAAAAATCTATAATGGCCGATTTCTTTCAGCCACCCCTTGTCAAGTGAGTATTGTTAAAGAAACCGTTTTCCTCAGAGCATTATCATTCAAAATGTCACATTGTGCCTTTTGAAATCTTTGTGTCCTTTGCACCTTCATACTGAGCCATAAAATTCAGTTTACTTCACAGATTTTAATATGGTATTAGAGTGCGAGTGGAGTATTTCTCTATGGCTGTTATCTCTCATGTCATTATACAGAAACATGAACTATTTCTCTCTATAGCATTGTTTCATGTTGTTTTTAATAAATGAACTAGAGTATGATTCACACATTTTAGGAGTCCTATGCAATAATCTACTTTATAGCTGTTTCTTCTCCATGAATGTGAAGCTTTATGCTACCTCTGTGGAGTGAAAAAGTGTAGAGGACGCAATCAAGGATTTAAACTTTTTATTTCATGTACACTACCATTCAAAACTTTGGGGTCAGTAAGAAATCTGTGCTTTTTATTCAACAAGGATGCATTAAATTGATCGAAAGTGACATTTATAACATCAAAAAAAAAAAAACCGCACAATTAAAACAGAAACTTTTTTAAAGAAAATGTATCACAGTTACCATAAAAATGTTAGCACAGCTGTTTTCGACATTGATGATAATAAGAAATGTTTTTGAGCACCAAATCCGCATATTACAATTTCTAAAGGATCATGTGACATTAAAGACTGGTTCAATGGCTGCTGAAAATTTAGCTTTGGCATTACAGAAGTAAATTACTTTTTAATATATAAATAAAAAAAGTTGTTATATGCAAAAATATTACTCACAATATTACTGTTTTACTGTGTTTTTATATCAGATAAAGGCAGCCTTGGTGAGCATTCAAAAACAAAATCTTGCTGACTCCAAACTTTTGAATGGTAGTGTAGTTTCTAGACAGTGATGTAGCTACTCATGCTATATCATGTTTTTAACACTTGGAGCTATTTTCATGTTTTTTTTAATTAAGCAGCTATTGTTTAATAGTAGTTTTTAACCAGTACAGTATGCAGGAAACAACCTGAGAAGAGTATTTTCCTAAAATAATGTGCCAGTTATTTAACCTTCTCTGCTGTTTCAATCATTCTGCATGATGGTTCAGTGCCTTTAGTGGATAGAGGTGGACCAAAATAACTACATTTGTTGGTTTTTATATTCGTGCAGTTAAAACTAACACCGCTAACTCCTACATATTACATGTGTCTTTAGCTATAGGGGTGGTTGATTTGTGTCTTTGCATGATGTCTCAAGTATCAGACTGTATGCATGCTGTTTGTACTGTATGTAAGCCTGTCTTTGTGAAGCATGAGTCCTGTATGTATAAAGTATATACAATCTGCTGTAAAACATGTTGAAAAGTGTGTACTGTCATTGCACAAAGTGCCAATGTTGTGAAACCAAAGTTATGTTGTGGAATGTTCCTAGTATTGAGGCGCCACTAGTTTTGCAGTTCTTTTTCACATGAGAATGTTTTAAATTGTGTTAGCGATTAGATGATGACCTACAGCCTTCAAAGTGCTGATTTTCCTCACCTAGTATATAATGTGCCATGCCTTATCAACTTCAAAAACGGTGTTACATTTTATCCTGATGTAACTAGAATTTCCATTGTTAATATCAGGTGGCGTTAAATATCAAGACAAGGTTGATGTTGCTTTTTTTATTTATGACTGATCTGAACATGTATCTTTTCAATTTGATATACAATGTTGTCTGTGCTATAAAAATTCAACTGAATTTATCAAGGTGGCTTGAGAAATATCTAACGGAAACTCTGTCATTGTTTTTGTATCACTTTGAGTGTTTCATTGTAAGATATTCCTATTCTTAACGCTACTGTAAAAGTGTGTGAAAATTCACATTTATATATATATACTAGTGCTTTACATATATTACTGGAAATGTCTACTAAAATAAACAGGTCATAAATTGTAGCTAAGCAATAATCTAAGTGTGGGGACTGATTAAAAATCATTCATCAATATTTAACTTTTTTTTTACTGAGCTGTAGTACACAATTTGTTGTAACCATATTTTAAAATATGTATTTTAATAAAGCACCATAGCAGGGCCACTAATATCATATACTGTTCAAATATTTTTGAAAGGCATCTCTGCAGCTCACCAAGGCTGAATATATTTGATGAGAAAAAGTAAACTGTATTATTGTGTAGTATCACAATTTAAAATAACTTTTCTATTTTAAAATATGTAAAAATGTATTGCTGTGATGCAAAGCTAAATTTTCAGTGACTATTACTCCAGTCGTCAGTATCACATGATCATTCAGAAATCATTCTAAGATGCTACTTTTGTTCTCAAGAAACATTTATCAATTGTGAAAACAGCCCCTGCTGCTTAGTGTTTTTGTGGAAACCACGTTTCATTGATGAATAAAAAGCTTTTTTTGTCCCATTACTAATGTATTTACTCTCAATTTTGATCAATTTAAAGCACCCTGCTGAAAAAACTATTAAAGAAAAAAAAATCGTACTGACCCCAAATGTTTGCACAGTAGTGTCATTTGCAACAGTCTGAAGTGTTTTGTCATTTTTATTGCCTGCACTGCATCAGGAAAAGCATTTTAAGAACCTTATAATTACAAACAACTATTTTGAATCAAACTGAAAACCACAATCAATTCACTGTCAACCCAAAGATTTCTATCCCAATAATGAAACTGGTATAACGTGTTGAGGACCCCTATGTAATCGACTCAATGAATACACAGTTTGAATGTGAGAATATTTATATTTACAGACAAAAGCCACATTTCAGAACAGTAATAATAATAAAAAAAATTGATCCTGCAACTTAAATGAATTTTCGCCTTTGTTCACTAAGCATGACGCCGCCCTCTTTCATCTAAATTTTCAGTGACTATTACTCCAGTCGTCAGTATCACATGATCCTTCAGAAATCATTCTAAGATGCTACTTTTGTTCTCAAGAAACATTTATCAATTGTGAAAACAGCCCCTGCTGCGTAGTGTTTTTGTGGAAACCACGTTTCATTGATTAATAAAAAGCTTTTTTTGTCCCATTACTAATGTATTTACTCTCAATTTTGATCAATTTAAATGCGGGGGGGGGGGGGGGGGGGGGGTACACAAATTAGTCTATACATTTACATCATTAACTGGCCATTAATGTACAATACTTAAAGAATGAGAAAAAAAACCTCACCGACTCTGAGCGAAACTTCCACGGTACCTCTCGATAAACAATCTGCGTGATCCCTGCCTCACGACACCGCTGAGCAAGCACCTCTCCTACGGCACGGCAAGCTGCTACAGACCGTGTGGAGCCCAGCTCACGCTTCAAAGCCCACTCCTTCGTGGAGCAGGACAGCACTGGATCTATTGAGTCACTTGAGTACACCTCAGCTGTGATGTGATGCTGTGTGCGCCTGAACACCAACCTGAGGAAGGAACGGTATAGAACAAAATAACATCAGTTCAATATTCATGTACAATGTACATTTGTGTTTGTATCTGGAAAAGGCTTTTAAGATGCTGTTATTACAGCTGTGCTCTGCAAAACTTTGTAGATGTTTTATTATTCACATCTAGTTCTAGTCCTCGGAATGCATACAAACCTTTGATAATATTGTTTAGAGGGCCACACTGTAGCCCAGCCCCGATCCTTCACTGCAAGGGCCATCTGTTCCAGGTTTCGGTTAACGAATGTTTTATTGATGGCTTCATTATCACTAATCGCTGGTTCTGGCTCAGGTGCTGTCTGACTAGATTTCCGAGCTGGTGGGAAGGGACACATCATAATCATTTTGTTTGAATTAAATCGAGAGATTTCAACCATGCGATGCTGTTGTATTTGCTCAAATTTCAAATTTGTGGAGAGACAAAAAAAAAAGTTGTGAAAGAGCTGTTCAATGCCAAATAAATAAAATGATTAATTATAATAAATTATTTATTAAATGATTTATATTAAATTCTTAATTTCTGTGTCAATCAAGGAAATGATAAAAATGACCACTGAAACTCACTTGCACAAAAGGTCAAATTTCCATCTTTTAACAGAACGAATTGTTCATAAGTCAGCCAGTTGATAAAATGGAGAAAAATAAGAAAGTTTTCAATTATATGATCATCTGAGGTGAATTTGCGGAGGGAAGTTCTATCATGCCAAAATATAATAAAGTAAACTGCTGAAATAGTCTCAGTTCAGTATCGCTTAACGAATCTTTTTGGTGAACAGACTCGAGATTCGAGTTACTGGGATGAATCAAAAATCCCCACCTGTCTTTAGGTTTACCAGTCATTCTTGAGAAGTGGGACAAAACAGGGTGCAAAATTGAAAAAATAAAACCTTGTACTCAGATAAATGAAACTACATTTATGTATCTTATATGTACTAAGCTACTGAGCTATGCTTTGATACAACCTCCCAACTTTTCTCTTTTTTTAACAAAATGTGCTTTTTTTTTTTTTACCTTGGACTGTGTAATATAATTTCAGCTTTATCTTTAACAGCATTCAAGATGTTTTTAACATTTCAAAACACATTCTCGCGTTAGCAGACAGAATACACTTTCACATGTGACCAACAATTCCACAACAAATATAAAATATTATAATGAAATAATATCAAAATATTCAACTGACCGAGGTGACAGAACTGACAGAGGTGACGAAAACCTGAATTTGTAATCATTTTAACTATCAAATACATTGAATTTATTGTTTATAAAGCTTTTATTCAAGAGTCACGTTTAAGTATTTTGATATATCATTGGAACACAAAATCTTATGGTGGTGACATCTGACGGTGTTGACAAATTTGGCATTTCTTTCACAAAACCAATGGAGTTCATGTAGTAGCCATTTTCTTTTTTTCTGTTGATGCTAGATGCTAATAGAACCTGCTTCAGGAGAATAAAATTATCTAAATATTTCAAATCATTTCCTGAGAAATTGGAAGATGGTGTTGACATATCATGACTGTGACACAGGAAA